CCCCAAAACCCCAAAACCCCAAAACCCCAAAACCCCAAAACCCCTTTCATCTATTTAAATACTGAATCAGTAAGACCGTGTTTAGTACCAACTGCTATAATAGCCACCATTACATGATTTCGACAGCAGAGTCTTCATATCTGCTCAGAATATTTCTGTGAATTCTTTGGAACAAGTTGTTCATCTTGGGAGGCCCACACACCCAGATTGTTCTGAGAGTGGAGGTTGAGGAGATAGGGTCTAAGAGAGAGTAGAGACTGTTTGAAGTCAAATGCTCACCTCCTTGTCTAGTGAAGACGGGAGTGAAGCTGAACTGAGGTTGCTTTTGGAAATGACTGAAGAGGTCGGAGAGCTTCATAAGGAAGTCCAAAGCTACTGCTTCCCCTTGTGTTGGGTAATATCCATAGACAATAAACTTGCTGTCTTTGAAGCATTCATCAAACTCTTCATTTCTGATCAGACTATCAGAAGGAGAATTATCTCTTATGACCATTCTTGCCAAGTAAGCGAACAAATCCAAAAATGGAAGGACTCCAGTTCCTCCAAGGAATAGGACATTCGTCCCTGAAATAGCCTCTGGTCTGAGGTCCAGTCCTTTTCCTAGTGGTTTTGAGATTATAAATTCATCTCTGTCCTGTACGTTCGCTAAAAGCCTAGTCAATCCTTTCTTAGATTGGTCATAAAACTTAATAACTAATTGGAGATTTTGAGAAATTTCTAAAGGTTAGCCAAACCAATCAGTACCTTCTACATTATCGAGCGTGACTTCTCCTTCTGTTTGGTTTCCTAGGATTTTGTCAATAGCGTTGATATAAACTGGATAGATCTCTGAGTTCATCACATTACATATTGTATAATATCTAGATACCTTTTGGTCCTCGGAATGTATCAAGTAGTGTCTTCCAAATGAGCTGATGCCAGGAACAATCACTTTGTAACCTTTGGTATCGTTTTTAAAGGTGACCCTGTACACTCCTTTGAATAGTTCATCTTTCTGCTTAACTCTGAAATTGCCGGTATAGAGCTCATTAGATCTATCTTCAATTCCATTTATATCGTCAAATCTACTTGTTACCATTTTCTGAGTATCTTCTGGAGATTTTAGCTTGGCAATAGCGATCTTTTTCAATATCTTGCCTGCAACAAAGGAGTGCTTATGAGTCTTAATATTATCATCAAGAGAGTAAGCGCCATAGAAGTACTTCCCAATTTCCTTGCCAGCACACTCTTCAAGAACATATTTCCCACCTGGGTGATCGTACTGATACTTTCCAAAGTCGATGACATATTGGTCGAAAATGGCAAGCTTTCTCTTGGAGTTTTGAACTTCTTCGATAGTCATTTCTGGGAGGCCTTTCTTCTCGAACTCACTAATCGCAGTGTATTTCCATTGTTGATTCAGTTGCCAAAGGACTTCGCAGATAATCAGCATCAGAACCATTAGGGTCAGATGGATATAATAAAGAAATGTTATAGGAGAATCATACAGAAACAATCCTGATAAAATTGCGAACTGGGAGTATACAATTAATAGGCTCCCAACAATAACATGAGCATACCAAAGGTAGTACGACACGAAAGAGAATCTTCCAAAGAAGACTCCAAAGATCTTCATAATCATTCCGAAAATTACAGTGATCGCTGCCCAGATGCTCACAACACCTGAGATACTTTTGTGTTCATCTCCCATTGAGTTGAGGGAGGCTCTTGTTCTTCCTCCTTTTCCGTATCCTAGTACTGCCACAAGTGTGAATACTAAGGCTAGGATTCCAACTAATCCATGCAGCATTGTTCTGAAGGAGTAAAAGTACTTTGAGTATCTCCCAGTAACAATCAACAAGAAAGAGAGCCATCCCCAAGCAATATAATTGAGGAGACCATGGACCAAAGTTTGCTCCGTATCTACCTTCACAGTAGAGTCTTCGCCAATAAACACGTCTCTAGTGGCTGCTTTGATAGTAAAATTGAACTGTCCATAAGCTCCAACGCTATGTTTAGCAAAGTTTGCTCCATTGCCATACCCATAGATCATGTTAATACATCCTGCATCCATTGTCTTGCTTCAAAATTGGTTGGAAAGTTCTAAACCAACCGTTAAATTCCCAAAACTCAGAATTTTATTAAAAAAATTAGGTTTTCAAGAAATTTTGGAAATTAGGCTATATTCAAAATTTGAGCAAATTAGAATTAGAAGTATTACCATCAGAAACTGTGAAATCTTGGGAATCGCCAGTATTGAGAGCTCTCTCGAAGGTGTAGGTATTGGTACTCCCTGACATAGAGACAGCAAAGTTATTAACATTGTTGGTAGTGTCAGCAGGGGGAAGAGAGTGGCCGGTAGAGTATCTATCCTCAACAGTCCAAGTTCCTTCATTTTGAATAGTGATCATGTCGACATTTGTCATGGAAGTACCGAAGCCTATGGCCACCCAGTTAGTGTCAGCAGTGGTGATCTCCCATCTCATAGTGGTTGTGGTTGGAAGAGAGATTGTCATATTGATGCTCCCATTGTTCAACTGAGTTGTACCAGTGCTTACAGCCAGGGTGACAGGAAGAGTCAAAAGTCCAAACAAGATGAGATTCATGAATATCATATTCATTTTAATAATCTTTAATATAGCTCTCTTTGTCTGTTCAAATATATATTCTATATGGGGTTTTGGGGTTTTGGGGTTTTGGGGTTTTGGGGTTTGGGGTTTTGGGGTTTTGGGGTTTTGGGGTTTTGGGG